GTTTTATAATTCCAATGCAGGTGAAGGAAAAGCTACCGAGTCTGGCCACTTCAGTGTCCATTTATAAATTTAACTGTCCATTTGGAGACATTTAAATGGGTAGAATGACTCGGCAAGCCCACTGACGCCTTCTGGAGCATTGTCCAAAGTGGTTAGGTAGAGGAGTTGTAAAGTCAATCAGAAGTTCTATACTGGCACACCTACTGGATACAGGGCACAAGATTGACAAAAATTCAGCTTTTACAATTCTATACAGGGTGCCACCTCAACTCCCTAGGCTGGTACTTCTTCGGTTGCGTAGCTGAGGCAGTTGTCATAATGATTCTTCAACCCAATCTCTGTGTTCAGAAGAAGTTTATTCAATCCCTCTCTCTCCCTTTGCCTTCGCCCCCAAACCTAAAATAGTTATCTCTCCTGGTGACACCGGATAACTGTAAATATTATCTTATTGTATTTTTATTTTATTTTATTTGTAATGCTAACTGTATTATCAATATCATGCTGTGCTGTATTTGTACATTTTATTCTCAGTTTCACAGTTTATCATTATTATTATATTAGCTAATTGCTATGTGACAATAGTTATTTTCCCCTCTACCCCTACTAGCATGCACACTCTACCTATACACTTACCGTTGCCTGGATTATACAAACACTTGAGTGAATTTATCATTGTTATTATTATTATTGTTATGATCACCTCGACTGTTATCCATTAATTCACATCCCTCAACTCTGATCCTATATTTTATCAATCACATTAATTCAAATGCCTATGACTACTGATATTTCATTATGTAAATGTAAAGCCTGATGAGAATTTACCGAAAATCCGTATTTATTTGCTTAAATCGTGTTCTATAATTATCATTATGGGAATTTTTAAATAATTGTTTTCTTCTTAACGTAAAGTATTTTGTTGTGACACTATTGTGTACCGTTTTATTCTGCATCGAATTTGACAGAGTGCGCATAGCGTGTGTGCACAATCTATATTAGTTTGGATAATGTAGGCTGTAATTGGCTACCGATTACTAATTTAAAGTAAAACAAATGCACTTTCATTGGTTCGCAAATACGGTTTAACTACATTTCATTTGTAAAGGTATACATAATGAAGGCAATATAAAATGCAGTATATTTTTGATACATTATGACGGATAAAGAAATTGGGCAGACCAGTGGTTTAATAACACACCACCGTTTTCTTGAGAATTTCTCTACTTTTGTATTAAATGGTATTACTGCTTCGTATAGTTAAACTACTTCAACACTACGGCGTACCTCAAGTCTTTCTCAACCTCATTCAACAGCTATATGACAACGCCACGTGTCAAGTGATCCACAACGGAAAACTCAGCGAGGCGTTCGAAGTGAATACAGGAGTGAAGCAAGGTTGCCTGCCTATTATCACTCATGATATTCTTAATCGTGGTGGACTGGATTATGCGTCAGACTGTTGGGGGCGAGGAGTCAGGAATACGCTGGACCACCGATAAGAAGACTCTAGAAGATCTGCATTTCTCAGATGATATACGTCTAATGTCACACAAACTCGAAGACTTGCAAGGGAAAACCAACAAACTGTCTAGAGAGGCAGCGAAAACAGGACTGCAAGAGAAGACAACTAACGAACAACACCAGTCACCACCAACGGGAGAGATTTAACAGAGGTTGCCTCCTTCAATTATCTGGAAAGCATCGTTTCAACTACAGGCGGAACGGACGAAGATGTCAAAGAGAGTCAGAATAGGAAGGGTAAGATACGCCTTCATAAACCTGAAACCAGTTTAGAAATCTTCTGCAATAACTCAGTATAAAGAACAGGATTCGGATTTTCAACACAAATGTGAAGTCAGTCAGTTCTTCTATGCGGGTCAGAAACTCGCAGTGCGTGTCACGAAAAGCATTTCCAACAGGTTGCAGACTTCCGTCAGCAGCTTCCCCCTTCCCTGGCTGGCTCCATACTGAAGATCAAATGCACAGAAAGAACAAGCAACAAGAAATTATGGGAACAAACCAACCAAGAGCCGATCGCTTAGCAAATATGCAAGAAAAATTGGAGATGGATCGGGCATACATAGGGGAGGCCGCCGAATGACATCGCACTCCAGGCAATGCCTCAAGTGGAATCTCGTTGGGAAGCGACGAGTGGGTCGTCCTAGGGTCACATGGAGGAGGTCATGTGTGGAAAAGATGAGAGAGTTTGGTCAGTCGTGGACCAGGCTGAAGAGGATGGCAGAAGATAGGACAGAGTGGAGATGTGTTGTTGAAGCCCTATGTTCTACTCGGAACGCAAAGGAATAGTAATAATAATAATAGTTATTATTATGTTCAAGAACCTTAATTTTTATTGTAATATTTCGAGCAAATTACTGCCCGTGTTCACACCAGTGTTGGAATTGTTTGAAATATTACCAATAACAAAACTTATCATTGTGTGTAAACTATTAAAATATAATTATACTTTATTTGATCTAATCCACAATGCTCAAACTTTTACTATATATCAATGTCTGTCTTCAGTTTGTTCAGATTGGCTAATTACTTATGTAGTCATCTACTGAAACAGTTAATCATTTGCAAAAATGTTATCATGATTTACTTCTGAAATTTTTTTAGTCATATGGTGAAATAATGCCATAAACCGTTTCATTTTTTCTTTTTCTTTTGAGTTTTCGGGAACGCCAATTTTTCGCAGTTTTTTTAACTTTTAGAATTTATTTCCCATGTACATTTAAACAAAATGTGGTTTTTCATAGTGCAAACTATTCTCTATCGTTTGTTTTTTTGGTGACTAAATAACAGAAGATGAAAGAACCTGATATTAGAATAAACAGATAGGTGGATATGCGAGAGATGAAGATAAAACAGACTGGTTTCCCCAATATCTTATAAATAAATGCCTGTTCAATAGACAGTGTTTAAATAAATCAAAATTAAGCATTTGAAGGGATTTCTGTTTAAACTTAAGTTCTAGATAGACAAAGTTAATTAAACTTGGATAAGTTAAACTAGTTAGAAGATAAAACCTAAACTTACCAATATAATGCAGTGACTTTTAACGTAAACAGATGGGAGTTAGAGAGAACGATTATAGAAGGCTACACATTAATCATTCCAAATAATTCCAATGAAACTGATGACATTGTATAGGATTTAATGTGTGAAACATTGAGATAATGAATATGTTATTAACTTCTAGTTAAACCTGTACAACAATTCTTTCTTGTGATTGGACGCTAGGAACTAGTGTGACCTGTCAATGTAACAGATACGCCTTGCTGACTAGTGCCAACTAGCACGAAACCTAGGTCGAGCAAGGCTTCCTGCCGATTGCCTCCAACCATCTGACATCAACAATTCTTTCTTTGAAATATTTTAAATTGTTTTTAAATTTTTGTAATTGAAACTGTGAGAATTTTGAGTTCCTTGTGTAGATATACATTTAAATTCCTTACTATATAACATCATAGCAATGTGCTAGAACAAAATAAATCTACACGAATTTTATATACTATGCACATTTTTGAAAACAAGCCTCAAAAGGTTTAGGTAAATCTTGAAAAAAAGTCATACTTGAAATAACATTAAAATAATCACTTTTCTCATTATGTTTCTTAAATATCTATCTTATTATTTCAAAAGAATGGTTACTGAACAAAGAATACTCTTTTCGATAAATTCATAATCAGGCTCTACAGTTATATATACATAATAGTGAATGAATTAGTGTTATTAACAACATTAATGTTGTTTAAATAACATCGAATCAACAATAATATCAATGGATTACAGTTCAATAGCATCGACATAACAATACACTGAATATCAGACAGGAAAATTAGGAAAGATAATGATACAAATTCATGAATTTATAGTTTCCACTGAAGACCAGCCAGGGTAGTAGTAGTGGCTGACTGGACTTGCTTCTTTTGCACACAAAGTACTGGTTGGTTCACGCGAATTGCGACAGCCTCAGCTATTTGGAGTATGCGGTACCTCGATGTTTTTGGCAACTTATTTCGTACCCGGTAGATGATTATTATTATTGTCTTTATTTTGATGGCAAAAATTTAAGCTAAAAGTAGTTAATTAATACATCTGTGCAAGCGAATTCGTAAAATGACAACAGAACTCACAACGAATTAAATCAAGATCTTAAGAAGTGAGTATGTGTGTGTATAGAGTCAGAGTGAAACAATTTTTCAAATGTTAGCTTCTAAGGATTTGATTGGGTTTCAAATTTGATCACGGAGTGGATCAGTTAGAGAAGTAATGAAAATCACAGAGTATTGGACGGCATAAATCAGCGTTCATAGGTCATTGGATACTGTTCCCTCCTTGTAACCTGATGGGGTCATACATGCGTATTGCTGAAGAGTTTCAAATTAAAACGAAACGTCTGTCCACTACCCCTGCCTTAGTTTTCACTGGCTCCCTGACTGATACCAATCCGTAATCGAACTTGAAACCAATCAATTCCTTACAAAACAACACTCGAAAATGAATCTAATGCTCACTGATGACTGAGCACAGGATGAATTTTCCTGGAGTTCTTGTGAGAGGTGGTGATTAGCAGGGTCCATCGTCGATGACATTGGCTGGCAGTTATGTGCCCAGAATACATTTGTTATTACTCCTTAAAAGTCAGCGGTTTTGTGGTTCATCAGTCATGCATATGGTACGGGCTGGACTTGCTGTTGGCATTAATTCCTGTAAAGAGGGAAGTTCAGGGGTCGGGCTAGCAACTCAATCTCGTATAACAAGAAACATTTTCAATTTCGAAGTCTCTGCAGTCATCTATATGGTTCGGGCATATACTTTTTGGCTTAATGGAGAACATGACAGTGTAAACTCTGTCAATAAAGTTTAAATTATATTCAGAAATCGTCTCGTACATATACATATCTTCTTTTCATTTGAAATAACTTTGATGCTATTTGTGTTATATCTCGATTAGAGTTTAACCATTAAAATTTTTCTTTTTATATCTGCAGGTTTTCTACACATAATTAGGTAAATACACATACGGCAGTGAATATATTTATAACAATTTCTATACAATGTTCATTTTATTACATGTGACATTATTCATTACACATTGCACTAACTTAATCCAAACAACATCGTCTCCACCAGTTGATCATGAATATTATATTCAAGAAGAAGTATCCATCGGGACCTTGATAGGCAATTTAATGAATGATGTTGTACTCAAGTATGCAGAGCTGGGATTACTTAAAATTTCTCATAAACTCGGTCAACTTCCCGATGATTCAGATGAATATTACACTTTGAAGATAGTTAATTTTGCTGATCCATTTGTAAATTTATTTGAGGTAAGTTAATTTTGTCGTACAATCAGTGATTTATTAACCAGTATAATATTTTCTCATTCATTAACAAAGTTTCAGACAGAGTATTACTCCTATTACTACTATTGACAGTTTTTTCCGCATAACCATGGTCTTATCTAACTGACAAAATTCTCCCTTGTGGGTTTGCAGTCGTGTATATTTTTACAGAACATTCCATAATTTGGCTTAATCTTAGAAACTCAAACATGTTTGCCAATAATGGTTTTTTTTTAAAATTTTGTTGCCTGAAAATCACACCAGTGATTTACGTATGCTCATAAGCTTATTTACACTGAAATGATTCGTACGTGATACACTTCAGTTTCTTACAAAACTGTTATTGTTAAGAAAATCGGTACATCACCTAATCACTAGTTCGCAAATATGAATGGATACACATGACTATATATAAACTGAAAATAACAGAGCAAGTTGATACAAACTTTAAGCATTTGTAGAGAGAAAAAATACTGCTTTTGAAACCTATTGTTTTATTATTTTATATTATTATTCCCTTTGGTTCTATTTTCTGCCATCCTCTTCAGCTGGGTCCACGATTGACCATAATCTCTCATCTCCTCCTCCCCAAACGATCTCCTTCATGTCACCCTCTCACCGACGACCCACTCGTCGCCGCTTCCCGTTGGGATTCCACTCGAGCAATGGCCTGAATTGCGTATGATGTCATTCGGTGACCTCCTCAACGTATGCCCAATCCATCTCCATTTTCTCCTACATATTTTGAGCTATTAGCCCTTGGTTGGTTTATTCGTCGCCAGAGTTTCTTGTCACTAATTCTTTTCGGACATTTAATCCTCAGTATGGAGGCATAGAAGTGGGTAGCTGTATAAAAAAATTCTGTAACTTGTTGGAAATACTTTTCGTCATGCGTCAATTTTCTCACCCGTATAGGAGAACTGAGTTGCTGACTTCACATTAGTGTTGAAAATTAAAATCTTGTTGTTTATGCTGAGGCGGAGTACAGAAGATTTCCAAGCTGGTTTCAGGTTGATGAAGGTGTATCTTGCCTTTCCGATTCTGACTTTAACATCTTCATCCTTTCCGACTACCTGTCGTTGAAAAGATGCTTCCTAGATAAGTGAAGGAAGTAACCTCTATTGAATCTCTCCATTTTACGGAGACTGGTGCTTGTCATTGTTGTTGTTGCCCGCTGTTGGTTGGTTGCTTAGTTTCATCACTTCTGTCTTCTCCATGTTCACCTCCAGTCCTGTCTTCGCCGCCCGCTTGCGTCTCCTGCCAATTTGTTGGTTTTCGCCTGACTGCAATTTTTCGAGTTTGTGTCACACTAGACATATATCATCTGCGAAATCCACATCTTCTAGATCCTTCTTATCGTTGGTCCAGCGTATTCCTGTCTCCTCGATCTCCACTCAGAGTCTGACGCATAATCCAGTCCACCACAATTAAGAATATTATTGGCGATAATAGAGTTCGTTAACCAGAAAATAAAGTACTTCATAGGATTCTACATTCTTAACTTTCAGTAAATTTATGCATTTGAAATTAAGTCACAGTTTAGTGGTTTTTTTTCAGTCACATAATCAACCTTAAACTCCTCACCCTTTTTACTACAAACTAGAAAATTAAGTTTTGATACAAGCAGAACGATATGTGACAGTAGTTAAAGGTTCAGTATATTTCAAAATCTTCTGAATACCATTACGTTTTAGTCAGTTTAACAGCACAAATTTAAACCAAAAAACATATGTAACATATATGATCACAGAAAGAGATGAAATTCAAGCTACAATGAAAAATTTCTGTGTCAAAATTCACCATATCCCGTACATTCATCACTGTATGTTAGAAAGGTCAAAAAATTTCAGAGAAGCTAAAATACATTAGGTAGATAAAATGAAACCATACTGTCGAATAGAAATTCAGAAGAGAAAGTAAAGAATGAAATTAAATACATAATTAAGAATTGATCTTTATAATGTAAATGATAAAGGCAAATATTGAACCTATATTTCTTTGAAAACACTACTGGTTTGAGCATTATGGTCTATCTATGTCCTGTGTTCTAAGTACGGTGAATGTGTCAGACTTTTCGAACACATCAACTCGAAAGTGGAGGCAATTCAATTCACTTATGAATTGGAAAGTCAGGAAGGGGAGCTTCCATTGTTAGAGTGTAGTGTAAAAAGGAAAGAAGATGGTAAGTTAAACACTAATGTTTACAGGAAACCCACACATTCAAACCGATATTTAGATTTCGGATCATCTAACACTATTTCAGTAAAAATAGGATTGGTGAAATGTTTAAGTAATAGGGCATAACAACTAAGTAGTACTAAGGAAAATCTAAGGCAGGGAGTGAGGCATATAAGAGAAGCTTTGAAACTTAATAATTACCTTGATAAATTATTCAGGAAGTATGTAGGAAAATGCAAAAATAAAATAAATAATAGTAGTAATAGGGATAATAATAATATTAATGACGACATGCATGTCAAACGTACACAGGCTAATGACAACACCAACAATAAGGAATTTAAATCATCAGTAGTACTTCCATACAAAGAAGGAACCTTGGAAACCTTACGCAGAATTCTTAACAAGGCAGGAATAAAAGTGCTGGCATTCAAACCCACAAACTCAATTAGAAACAAGCTTTGTCGGTTAAAGGATCCTGTGGAGCCTTTAAAACAAAACAATTCAGTTTATCTAATATCTCCTGCAATGATTGTCAGGACAAATACATAGGTCAAAGCAGTATAATGGGGGCGGTTAGACTAGTCGAGCATAAAAACCTAGCAAAATCTAGATTAGTTGACTCTAATATGATAAGAAATCTAGAGAATAGTTCAGCTATAGCACTACATACAATTACACGCAACCATAAAATAGGATGAGCTAAGATGAAAGGTTTAAAATCTGACGTAACAGAGTGGAGGGAGAGATTGATAACGGAAGCTTTGTTTATCAAATCAACTGCAAACACGTGTAATAGGAATGATTCAACACCTGTCCCAGATATCTGGAAAACTCTACTACCCCTACGACAAATAAGGAAGAATAAAGAAAACTATAAAAAGAAAGTTTCGAAGTTGTGTGATTATGATCGATATGATTATGAACAGTGAAATGTGTTAGAAACGTCATCCGGTAAATAACACTGTTTCACAGGAGATGTAAGTAATAAACAAATTAATATGGAATTACATACTACCACAGTGACAAGTTTTACACAAATATTAATACCTCTGAAATTCCCCAGTTACTATTACGTTATGCGTTATGTAATTCTCACTTCCGAATAAATTATTTCATTGATACGTATTTTCGTTAAACACCCGTCATAGTCAGCTTTATGAAATTTTCGATAAATTATTAAATACATATAACATAACTCTGTTTCAGCAAACATTTTCTGTGAGCATGATTCTAGTTTCTGTGGAAGACGGAGATATTCTTGGTGATATTTGTCTTGAAACTTGGTGACTAGTAGCAGCATCTTTAAGTTATTTAAATTGCTTGTTACAATGAGATGCAAAAATCGTTTGTGATTCTCTACACTTTCTCTTTATCCAAATATATTAATAAACCTGAATGTAGTCCTCATTTAATATTAAAGATGATGTATATGTGTATATGTCAACTTTATAGACTTTGAGAAGGCCTTCGACAGCGTTGACCGCGAAGTAATTTGGAAACTACTCAAGTACTACGGCGTACCCCAAATATTCATCAACCTTATTCAACAGCTGTACGACAACGGCACATGTCAAGTGATCCACAATGGAAAACTCAGAGAGGCGTTTGGAGTAAACACAGGAGTCAGACAAGGGTGCTTATTATCACCAATGATATTCCTAATTGTGGTGGACTGGATTATGCGTCAGACAGTGGGAAACGAGAAGACAGGGATATCCTGGACCACGACGTGAAGAACCTAGAAGACCTGGATTTCGCAGGATGATTTATGTTTGATGTCACACAAAATCGAAGACTTACAAGCGAAAACCGACAAACTGGTCGAAGAAGCAGCCAGAGAAGACAGGACTCCAGGTGAACATAGACAAGACGGAGGTTATGAAAATAACCAACCAACAACAACACGCAGCAGCAACATCCAACGCCAATCACCATCAACGGGAGGGATTTGAAAGAGGTTACTTCATTCACTTATCTAGGGACCATTGTCTCAACTACAGGAGGAACGGACGAGGATGTCAAATCGAGAATCGGGAAGGCGAGAAACACATTCATCAACCTGAAACCAATCTGGAAATCTTCCGCTGTCACTCAGCATCAACAACAAAATTCGGATTTTCAATACAAACGTCAAGTCAGTCAGTTCTTCTATACGGATCAGAAACTTGGCGGGTCACAAAGAATATTTCCAACAGCCTGTTGCAGACCTTTATCAACAACTGTCTTCGATCTATACTCAAGATCAGATGGCCGGAAAGAATCACCAACAAGAAACTATGGGAACAAACAAAACAAGAACCAATCACCCAACAAATATGCAGGAGAAAGTGGAGATGGATTGGACACTCGCTGAGGAGGCCGCTGGGTGACATCGCGCGTCAGGCCATCGCTCGAGTGGAACCCGAAAGGGAAGCGGCGAGTGGGACGTCCAAGGGTGACATGGAGGAGATCGTGTGAAGAGGAGGTGAAACAGTATGGACTAACATGGATGCAGGTGAAAAGTACAGCAGAAGACAGAAGCAAGTGGAGACGTGTAGTTGAAGCCCTATGTTCCACTAGGAACCCAAGGGAACAATAATATAATATGTGAGGGTGTTCATCTTGTAAAACAAACTTAGAACATGGTCGCTGAAAAAATTGAGTCGTCAATCTTTCTGCAAGCGAATGTAATGTATTTAAGCTTCTGATGACTAGAGGTTACATTCTGGAGAAATAAACAAAAAGCTCAAATATCCATTAAGTCAAAAGAATAGTTTTTCTGGTAATTTCGTCTAAAATGCATTGTAGACATAAACCCAAGAATA